TGGGTGGCAGAGTAGACAGACACTAGACATTACTCTCTAGGCTGGCTGTACCCGTTTAGGTTTCCTTTAGCAGTCCACGACGGTTCCTGCAGCCCAATGTCCCTGACTAAATGTGACATTATCTGGATTTCAAATTTTTGTCAATCTAATAGGCATACAGTGACATCTATTGTTTTCATTTGCATTTCTCTGATTACTAATGAGTGTGAGCCCTCTTCATATGCTTGCTAGGTTTTTTTTGTTGTTGTTGTTTTTCTTCTATAAATTGCCTGTTCATACCCTTAGCCAATTTTTCTATTGGAGTTCTGCATTTTTCTTTTTGATTTGCAGGAGCTCCATATATGTTCTGGATATTATTCATAGTTGTTTTCAGAAGGTTAGGTTTAGGGGTGGCTTTTGAGGCAATCTAGTCCAACCAGCTCATTTTACAATTGGGGAAGTTGAGACCCAAGCAACGAAGTCACACCTAATGGAAAAGCTGACACTTGAAATCAGCACTTTTCCACCATATCCTTTGAAGTGGGAAGCCTTGTACGGAGGCAGGAATGACCGGAAGAGGTGGGCAGGAGCTGTAGCGCATTGCTGGTAATTCACTCTCTGCATTTCTTTGCAGACAGAGGGGCCACTTGACCTGACCTGTAGGCCAAGGCCAGCTCTGGTCCCCAGAGGCCCTTGCAGTCTATGAGGTTCTATCCAGGTCTAATGACCATTTCTTTCTCCTACTCACACCGTCACTACCTTATTTGAGGACTTTATCCTCTTGCTCGACCAGCGTTTCTCAAATTTTAGTGTGTCTGAAGTTCACCTAGACAACTTATTAAAACACAGATTACGCCCCATTCCCTCCTGAGGATTTGAAGGACTGAGAGATCCTCAGGATCTTGACGCTGGTGGCTCATGGACCTTATCTGGAGCAATACTGCACCAAACTGTCACCAGCTCCCTGATTGCTCTGTCTCCATCCTCTAGTCCAGGGGTCCCCAAACTATGGTGAGGTGTATAATTATTTCATTACATATTAACAATGTAATAATAATAGAAATAAAGTGCACAATAAATGTGATACGCTTGAGTCATCCTGAAACCATTTACCACTCCCCGCCCTTCCGCAGTCTGTGGAAAAATTGTCTTCCATGAAAACAGTCCCTGGTGCCAAAAAGGTTGGGGACCGCTGCTCTAGTCACCTCCATTTGTCTTCACGCTGCCAGACAGAGCTACCATTCCCCCAGCACATCTCTTTGTCATACCTCCCTGTTCTAACCTTTACTGTCCATCTGAAATGCTCCTTCCTGCGGAAAATTTTATGTTTTTTTTTCAAGATCTAGGTCAAACACGGGTTGCCCTAGAAAACTTTCCCTGATTTTTCTGGGAGCCAAGCTAGAGGCATGGTGCAAATGGAGAGATATAGCAGTGGGATGACTGTCCCACCCACTGGCACACCGCCCTTTGTGATTCCGCTGCACATCTGTCTGTGTAAGGTGGGCATGGACACCGCTTGGAGGAAGGTAGCAACATGGTGGACTGGCCAATCTTTTCTTTTTTTTAACACCTTCATTTTTATTGAGTGTATGTGCACATAGTTTATTTGAAGACTAGCAGTCGTACATTTGTTATCCTTGGTTCCCGTGTTTTCCCCTCTTCAGAGTCAAACACTTGAAACTCTTTTGGCTGATTCTTTTGATATCTCTAAAAATATGCTGATATTGCTCCTATTTGATTTTTCAGTGAGAGAATGAGGGTTTAGGCCTCCCTCCTCCCCCTTCGCCTTCCACACGTGCCCTTTCCCACTTCCCACATGCTATTGCTTGGCCGGTTTTTGCATCCAGGATGCTGCGTGGTGGTTCTCAAATCAGAAATCTGGGCACCCTCCTTAACTCTTTCTTCTTTTTCCTACTCCTCCCTCCATTCATTCTTCCCCCACCTCCCATATCCAGTTACTCATGGACTTCTGCCAACAGTACCTCTGACATAACCTCTTAAATTCACGCAGGTCTCTGTTCCCGCAGCCTCTGCCCTTGGTCTGTCCACTCCTCTCCCCCTGGGATACTGTGATACTGCTCATCTCTGTGTTTCCTGTCACGCCTCCTCCTGTCTCCTCTCCACCTTACAGCCAGAGCGAGCTTTCTAAAATACAAATCAATTTGATCATGTGATTCTCATGCTTAAAACTCTTAAGACTCAGGAGAAAATTCGAATTCCTTATCCCGGTGGGGTAGAGACAACACTTTGTTTCCCATAGCATTTTGTCTTCCTGGCTCACAGACTCCATTTCTTTGCAGTGGGGTTGGGGCCACGTGAAATGTGAATGCAAGTGACATGCGTCACGTCCAGGCAGTTATGAGCTACGTGCCTACTGCATCTCTTTTCTCTTCTGGAGTGGATCTCTGAGGCTGTGTTCTAGGGGCTGGAGCTACAGGATGGAGGAGGGCTGCCCCACCCACATCAGACTCTATATGAGAGACAAATGAGTCTTTGTGGTTGTAAGCCAATGAAACTCTGGGGTTTTTCTGTTAATGCAGCAGAGCCCATCATGACCCTGACCAACGCGAGGTATGCATAAGGTCCTCCAGGGTCTGGCCTTGCTTCTCTAACATTTCTCTGCTCTTCCTTCCCTTAGACTCTATGTTCTATCTATAAGGACAGGCCAGGCTCTTCCCCGCTTCCAGGCCTTTCTACATCACAGTTCTTGTTGCTTAGAATGTCTTTTGTCAATCACCTCCTCTTTACCACTTTGCCTGGTGAATCCCCACGCACACTTCAAGCCTCAGCTTAGATGTCTCCTCCTCTGGGAAACCTGTTCCAAGACACCCTACTTTGTGTGTCTACCCTTCACTCACCACTCTCTCCTGAAATTGCCTGTTTACTCACGTCTGCACCAAACTGAACTGGAAGCTCCCTGAGCATTGCGACTCTGCCCCATCCACTGTGGTCTTCTTAGGGCTAGTCAGAGTGGGTGCTCCATCCGTGTTTGTGGAATGAGTTATTGTTGGACGATCCAGGCACAATCTCAGGGGAGAAGCTATTGTAAAAACCTGAAATTCAGATTTCTTCTTCCAAGAGTTTCTTGGTAGTTTGAATTCCTGATATATAGTATTGATTAGTGATTTGGAGGAAACAGTCTATAGGCAGAGCTGGTTTGACTTCTGGCCTTCTATTTAGCAAGTTACTTAACCTCTTAAGCCTCAATGTCATGATCTAATGGGAATAATAATAATAATAGTGCCCATCTCATAGGGTCGTTGTGATGCTTCAGTGAGTTGTATGTATATAAGCACTTAGAAAAATGCCTGGCTTATAGAAGTGCCCAATAAATGTTAGATATATTATTTTTTAAAAAATCCCCCAAAATATCTTAAATGCAAATATGGTATCCTGAATTGGATCCTGGAACAACAAAAACAAGGGCACCGGGGGAAAACTAGTGAAATCCAAATAGAGTCTGGAGTTTAGTTAGCAATATTTTAATGTAAGTTTCTTAGCTTTGATAAATGTACCGCTGTAACGTGAGATAACATTAGGGGAAACTGGGTGAGGGGTATCTGGGAACTCTGTGCTATCTTTGTAACTTTTCTATAAGTCTAAAATTATTCCATAATAAAAAGTTTATTAAAATAGATTCTTATTATACTTGATACTCATTTTATTCTCACAATGTCTCGATATAAGTACTGTAATGATTGTCATTTACAGATGCAGAACTGAGGTACACAGAAGTTAAATAACTTCTCATGGCCACCCTCAGTTCAGGATAACACAGTAGGAATGTTTGGTGGGCTGGGATTTAAGGATAATGCGACAATAAACATTTATTTGTGTAAGGCACCACCCTATGTGCTATGTCAATAGAGAATATTGAAGGTATTGAGGGCGATCTCTGCCCTCAAGGTCAGTACAGGTGGGACACAGTTCAGGACCTGTGCTCTTAACCATTGCACTAGACAAACTGGGGGGCAAGTGGTGATTAGAGTCACGTGCCATTCACAATGGAGGTGCAGAGGTAAAAATAGCTCTGGTTGTGTTTAGGGACAGCCAGCTTCAAGGGTGGGGGCTTTGATCTGAGTCTTCAACCTGAACATCGTTTGATTTGGGTAGAGAGAAAAGGAAAACCTGGAATGGGTCTCAGGGCCTCCGTGGAGCCTCCTCTTTCCGCTCCTTTTCCCTTCCTTGGACCAGCCCTGAGAGCCGGGTCACGCATGTGACAGTTGGCCATTCTGTTTATCACTGCATGAAAAACAGCAGATCGTCGCGCACGGAGCGTGGGCTTTGGCATCAGGCAGCCCACAGGTCAGCACTCGTGCTGTTCCTACCAATTATGTGATCTTGAGCTGGTTACTTTGCCTCTCCCAGCCTCAGGAAAATGAGGGTAACAATGACCACCTGACCTGGTTGTTGTCAGGGTTTTAACCCCCTGAGGAAATGTGTATCAAGCGAGGTATGATGCTGGGCCCCTGGTAAGGACTCACTAAGTGGTGGCCACCTCTGTGTGCCTCATTCCTTCATTTTATTCAAGGCTTATATGATAAACCTTTGGTTACGTTGCTGAATATTTCCTAGGGAGGCAGCTTCACAAAAAGGAAAGAGCATGGACTTTGGGAGGCTGTGCTACTTACCAATCGGGTGATCTCGGTCAGTTGTTTAATCTGTGCAGGCCTCAAATTTTCACTGTAACATAATATGAACATTATAGGATTGTTGTGATAATTATGAGACGGGGTATGAAGATGGTGCATGGACACATTCCACTACTGTTCTTGTCATTGTGTCTTGTATTTTCCTCTAGTTGATTCATATTAATCTTGACTTTCCCCCAAATTGTTTGATCCTTAAGGAGGATCTTAAATCTTGTATTTCCTTTGGGGACCTACTAGGTGCTCACTAAACACGAGTTGGCTTGCTTTTGGGGTGGCCTTCCTCAGCATTAAATGCATCCAACAGCTTTTCTAGATTTTGTTTGGAATTGTCCTTGGGCTGGTGAAGCGGGAAGGGACCAACCTGTGAAATGGCCACCAAATATTTTATTTATTTTACTAATAGGGTTCAATCTCGAAGACAGCTCTGAGGTGGTGGGTTGGGGAGGGCAAGAGAGAAAGCAGGGAGGCTGGGAAAGGCACATAGATGGTGGCCTCTGGCAACTAAATAAGCTGAGGGAACTCCTGGCTCGAGTTAGCCCTGCTGTGAAAAAAAATACGCCCGCCGACATCCACCCTGTGCCCAGCCTCGTCCTCGGCATCGTCTTCGCTGGACTTGCGGCGGGCGTTCTGGTAGACCACGGCGCACACGCCCGTGAGCCAGGCGGCCACAGTTCCCGCGGCGAAGATGCAGAAGCCGATGAGCAGCAGGAAGATGTAGTCTTGGTGGTCCAGGTGCGTGAGGCACATGTACCGGAGTGGGTTCCCCACCCGCGTGATGGGCCACCCTTTCAGCTCTGTGGGCTCCATGCACGTGGCATTTAGATCGTCTATGGAGAAAAACACAGCAGGCAGGGTGCTGAAACAGTGGAACTCCCGGGGTCCTAAGGGGTCCTAAGGCCAAAGGGGACCTGGAGGGGCTGTCTGGACCCTCACTGCTCAATGTGTGGTCTGTGGGCCAGCAGCACCCACGGCACCCGCATCACCCAGACCTCAGGAGAAACGTAGACGCTCAGGCCCCACCCCACACACCTCCCGACTCAGAATCTGCGTCTCCACAAGCTCTTCAGGGGACTTGCTGCACATTAACGTTTGAGAAGTACCGTGCCTGGACTACTCCTCGTCCCCAGGCTTTGCTGCACTCAGGTTGTGGAAATGGGCTTTGCTTCTTAAGGATCCTCAAGGAAGGAGAGGCCGTACAGGGTCTGGGACTTTGGAAACTTGAGCAAGATTGCTGTGGGGTGTTGGCACCTCCCAGACCCCCACCAGTGCTCCTCATCTCCCTCTCTCCTCTTGATCCCAACTTTCCCCTTCACCTAGTCCCTCTCTTTCCACCTGCGCCCGAGTTTAGCCAGGGACGCCACCCAAGAACATCACAAACCACTCGGCTCAACCGTAGGGAAGGATGAGCTTCCCTGGAAATGTCTGCTGTGTGTTCTTTGTCCGGCGCCCCTTCCTCCCGGAGAAGCTGGGGGGAGGGGTGCTCGGGGTACGGAGATTGCTGATGGGGGAAGCAGTTCCGCAGCTCACTGGCTGATCGCATGACTACATGTCTTCAGTCTTTTTTAGCGGCTGACTCAGCTCCCTGGCTACTTTTTGAGCACGTCCCTGTATCTAGCACCATGGACTTCAGTATGTAACAGGAAGAAAAGTGGCTAGACAGAGCGAGACAGGCCAGGGTTCTAATCCAGACTCTGTCACTTGCTAATTTTGTAAACTTCAGCAGGATACCCAAGGCTCTCTCTGAATCCCATTTCCTCATCTTCCCAGTGCAAAGAATCATACCTCTTCACAGGGTATTCAAGAGGACTGGCCCAGGTGAGAAGGCAGGCTGTTGTGCCTGGAGCACAGACTCCTCAGGGCTCCACCCCCAGCCCTGCATTTTTCTAACTGTGTACTCTGCCATGCTGATGCTGAGGTGCCCATACATGGTGCCTGGATGAATATATCCAGCACGCATTAGATCAATGAGCTCCAGCTCAGGGCTGAGATAACCATGATCAAAATCACAATAGCGCTGATATTTGCTAAGCTCTTGCTATGTGCTAAATGACTTGCAAATGCTATCTCCTAACAACTCTGATGCACATAATATTATTATCCTTGTTTTATAAATAAGGAAACTGAGACTCAGGAGGTTTCATAACTTGAATGTTCTAGATAACCCGCAAGATCTAGGCAAGAGATAGAAGACAGAAATCCAGGAATGAGGCTGTCTGAGCTTGTTTTGCAGAAGTGGGAAATGCAAACAGAAGCTGTTGTGGAGAGAAGCTTCCTCTAAACTTTAGGGCAGGAATCTCCTGACTACGTGAAAGCATCAGTGTCCTTGGGGACCCAGGAAGTTAGGGAAATCAGGCTCAGTTAGGGAAATCCTGATGAGAGCCAGAAGCAGCATTAGGGAAAAGAGTGCGGAGGTGAGTTGCCTGGGGAGGAGGCAGTGGATTCGGGTGGCTGGAAAGAGCTGTCCTCTGCACCTGGACACTACTACCTGCATCTTGCTTCTGTATCGATGCACCCGTAGCGAACTCATTTTGCTGCTTTCAGGAAGACAGCCTGAACTGTGTAATGCTGTTTAGGACTCACTGTCAGAGAAAGCGGTAGACACAGGAGGTGAAGCCAGCGCAGGGGCTGCGTCATATCCACTGTTTGCAATGACTGAAGAGGAGAGAAGGGGAAGAAGCCTCTCTCTAGACTGCATGTGACCCTCAGAGCAATGCTGCCCACTCGAAAGCTCTCAAGGAACAGAGGTTGGGGACGTGGAGGGGAAGGATTGTAGTTATGCCTCCAGACCGCCTTCCAGCCAGCCTGGCTCCGTGACCTCTGGGGCTTTGCCTACGATGCCTGAGCATGGGGGCTCGGGAGGAGCAGGGGCAGCTCCTGAGAACTGTTCAGGAATTCTGTCTGGGCGGGTCAGGTCCCTTGCCCAGACCCCCGCCAGAGACATAGGAATGTGCAAAGGATGTACAAAGAAAGATGTATTTGAGAAAGGAAAACATGGGATTCTGAGGGTCTGGGGTGTGTCTAGGGGGGTTTATCTCATTCTATTTTTAAAAAGATTGAGCTTTTAAATTGGGGTTGGGTGGCAGAGATGAGACTAAACATTACACACACATTTCCCCATTTTGGAGCATTAGCCTTGAAAGGAGCAATTAGGCGGTGATTTTAATGCATTGTTAGGCTGCTGTTAAGTGAGGGAGGTGGGTGGCTCTGCTGGGAGGGAGGCCTGGGATTTCTACTGTTGCATTCTCTCCCTTTCCCCAGTCCCTGCCACCGCCAAGGTTTGGGCTGTCTTCTCCCAGCCTCCCCATCTCCATCGTTTCCACTTGTCCCAGCTCTGGTCCATTCCACACACTCCTGCCAGATTGCCTTCCCCAAGTACAGCTCTTCCCAGGCATACTCTGGCTCAAAATCCTCCTCCAACCCTGCTATGAACCTCAGAATACCGTCCAGACCACCTGGCCTGGCATTCAGAGCCCCTCAGCATCTGCCCCCTCCTCCCTTTCCACGGTACTTCTCAGCACTGCTGGCAGCCCCCTTTGCTCCAAATTAAATTACATATTATTCCTTGATTACATCCCGCCCTTGCCCTCATCTGTAGCTAGCTTTGTTATATCGCACTTTTTCATCAATTGTCTTATCCCCCAGGTTTTGCATGATCAGGTTCTTCCCGGGCCCGGCGTGGTGGCTCACGCCTGTAATCCTAGCACTCTGGGAGGCCGAGGTGGGAGGATCGCTTGAGGTCAGAAGTTCGAGACCAGCCCGAGCAAGAGCAAAAGCCTGTCTCTACTAAAAATAGAAAAAATTAGCCGGGCGTGGTGGTGTGTGCCTGTAGTCCCAGCTGCTTGGGAGGCTGAGGCAGGAGGATTGCTTGAGCCGAGGAGTTTGAGGTTGCTGTGAGCTAGGCTGACACCACGGCACTCTAGCCCCGGCAACAGAGCAAGACTCTTGTCTATTAGATACTGTGAGAAGTATGTAAAATCACCAGTTATTATTACGTATTTGTGTACTCCATATAGTTTTGTCAAGTTTTGTTACAAATTTTAAAGCTATGTTATTAGATGCATACAAAGTTATAACTGTTATATCTTCCTGGTAGATTTACCCTGCTGTCATTGAACAGTATCTCTCATTATCTCTAGTAAATGCTTCTTTCCTTAAAGTCTACTTTATTTGACATTAGCATGGCTGTGTTGAATTTCTTTTGGTTAGTGTTTGTGTTGTGTATCTTTTTCCATCTTTTTACTTTTAATCTTTCTACATTCTTATATTTAAGGTATAATATTGTAGCTGGGTTTTGTTTTTCATCCGAGCTAACAAACTTTGTATTTTAATCAACCCATAGATATTTAATATAACTACCAACATATTTGGACTTACGTTTCATATCTTACTATTTGTTTTTCATTTGTCCCACTGTTTCATGTCCCTTTTCTTATCCTTTGTTGCCTTCTTTTTTGTCATTTCACTTCCTTTTCTTTTGCTTGTCAGTCATACATTCTTTTTCTATTCTGGTATGATGACTTTAAAGATTTTATTTCTATCTACTGAGTATGAAGCACCTGATAGGTCCTACATGCTTTAAAAAATTAAGTTAGAGCTTAATTTAAGCTCTACTCTTGACCACCTCACAGGGTAGTTTTAGTTATTCCCATGTTATGGAATGAATAAACTATATATCACTTCTTCCCTATCTGGCTTTCTTGGTCTCCTTGCCTCTCACACAGGGGGCTACCAGGTACTAGTGTACATGCCGGGCCCTGCACAGATCTTGGAGGCTCCTTTCACATTATAGAGAGGTGATTTGGCCCCATGCTATCTTTTTGCTCAGCCCCACTCCAGTGGGCTTGGGGCATTTGCCCCAGTTAAAGTTCCCAGGTACAATTACAGATGTCATTAATGTTTAACTTCTCCTTGCAAATAGTTCCTAAGGAAACATAAACCACCACTATATTTATTTCTGTATAGCTTATTGTTCACAGGCAGAAAACCCGTCTGCCAAAACCAGATGCATAAGGAACTAGAGTTTCTGGGGCTCAGAACTATACTAGCTGGTGTGGGAGCCCAGGAGGCCTCCCTTTCAGAAAGCAGTTTTGAACCCCTAGGTTATAGGAAGAATCGTTCCCTCTCTTGTCCTGCAGAAGGGACCACAGATCTTCCCAGGGGTCTGCTATTCCCAGGGCTTGGTGCCCCAGAGGAGCCAGACCCTGTATAGACTGCCCGGAGCCTCCTGCAGCAGCACTAGCTCAGGAACCATCTGGGATAACCAGAGGGACGAGCATCTAGGTGGTGGCAATGGAAGGTGAGAGGATGGAATTTGACAACGACCCCCGACCCCATTAAACTGCAATTACCTCTTGGAGAGTGGACACCAGTTTCTATCAGCTTAAGCACTTTGTAAATTTGTACCCTGAACCCAGAGAAATGCCTAATTCCCCATTTCTCCTTCCTAGGCCCCAGCTCGCCTGAACATCAATAGATGTACAGTGCTTTGTCTTCTGTTTAATTTTTTCTCCAGCTAAACTATGTATTTCTCAAGGAAATGGATTTGCCACCTATTCATTTGTCTGCCTCCACCCACTAGATCAGAAATGCTATGAGGATATGAATTTTTATCTGTTTTGCTCACTTTGGTATCCTCAACACCTATATTGGTGCCTAACACATACTAGAGCTCAGGGCATGTTTGATGAATGAATTAAATGTCATTTGTTATTACTACCCCTTGGGGTGACTGTCACTGACATGACACTCTGCTGGAGGAAAGGGAACCTGGGTGGTAGAGTATGGTGTCATGGGTGGGTCAGCCAAGCTCTGACCACCTTGGATTACT